CCGGAGGAGCAGGTGAGGCCGGCGGGCAGCGCTCACCTGCTCCTTCCCCTAACTCCATCTCTTCCCCTGGTCTAGTCCCTAACCCTATAAGACTATCCCGGTCCCTATGGCTAGCCTCTCCCCTCACCCCTTCCCCTCTCGTCTTACCTCTGCTCATCCACTTCCCCTATCCTTTTCCGTGTCATTTGCCCCTATCTTTTACCTCTTCCTGTTTTCTGTATCCTCTATGTTTGCTATATCACCTTTCCTTATCCCCTTTTCCTCATCCCCTGTATTCTCTATAACCACTTCCCCTACATCTTTTATCTGCTATCCCATTCCCCTCTACAGTATTAATCACCCCATCCCCTTTCTTTCATCCCGTTTTCCTCACCCCTTTATTCCCTTATATATGCCCTTTATTCCTTATATCTCCTTCCCTTATAACCCTAACTTTATATCCCCTTTCCTCTCTCCCTTTCCCCTCTCCCTTCTATTCCCCGCATCCCTTTTCGCCATCCCCTGTTCCCTTTCCCTGTCCCGGGTTGTGCTGATGGCCGTGTCCCCTCAGCTCGTTCGACGTGGCCGTGGTGGGCGCGGGGATCGTGGGCCTGGCCGCGGCCCGGGAGCTCATCCAGCGCCATCCCTCGCTGGCCTTCGCCGTGCTGGAGAAGGAGCAGGAGCCGGGTACGGAGCGGGACAGGTGACAGGGACCGACAGCTGCCACAGCCTCAGTATTCCCTGGATATCTGTGGGGAGGGATCGGCTTTTGGGTAGTAGCTGTGGGAGAGCACCTGCCCGTGTTGTTGAGTTGGTGATGGGTCCCATCCTGGAAGTGTTCCGGGCTGGGTTGGACAGGGCATGGAGCAGCGTTGGGTAGTGGAAGGTGTGGATCTGTAAAATCCCTTCCATCCCAAACCATCCTGGGATTCTGTGATGACTCCTCCCTAACACGGAATTTCCTCCAGCCTTCTCCCAGGGATGTGTCCTTCAGCAGAGAAGCAGAGTTGTCTGTGCTTCACTGCTGGGACTTCACATTAGGAATTTTAAGTTAAAAAGTCCTGAGCATTGCTGCTGTGCAAGCTGCAGTGTGACCAGCGGCAAGGAATGTCAGGAGAGAGGACAAGGAGGGGGAATAACCAGGATAAGGAGTAGTGCAGGTTGTGGAAGGGCACACACAGGTCCTGCATGGAGCTGGGAGAATCCCAAGGGATAGACATCAGTGATTAACTCCAAACAGGACCTGTGAGCCCAAAATCTCATCTTAAATCGCTCCATCAACCAAGCTATAAATTGCTCTTGAGATGTTCCATGAATGTTACAAAATGACTTTTTATCCCCAAGACATACACAAAGTCCTTAACAGCTGTGTGAGTGCCAGGCAGGAATGTGACCTTTGGGCATCCACATGTTAAGTGGGATAAGAACGTGACCAAATTACTTCAGTAAAAATGTTTGTGGTATTTTTACCTCTATTTTATCTATTTGCAAAGAGGAAATAGCAACCTTATCCAGTTCACAAATACTCAAAAATCCTCCCAGGCCTTGCTAGCATGTCCAAAGGAATTGTGGATTGCACAGATAATATGTTAGATCATGCCTTGAGAGATGCATATCATTGTAAAAATTGTATTTGTTAAAATTAATTTTAGCCTGTAAAATGTTTTGATTGATTGGCTTGTTCTGGAAGGAAAAACTTGTGATTTTAGGGGTTTTTTTTCCCTGTTGATCCAACACAGTGTGGGCTGTGATTATCATTAGCCAGGGCTGGCTGTGTCAGTGTTTCTCTAACCTTTTGAGGCCAGGGAATGAATTAATTGTGCAGTTCTCTAACTTGATCATCTCTTCTAATGCTGATTTAAGGCAGGACCTCAATTTATTCATTCTTCTGACAGCTGAAGTGATTTAAATAGGAACAAGTGCATTCTAACAATGTAATTTTTTTATTTTTTTTTTTTTTTCTCTTTAGCCCATCACCAGAGTGGACACAACAGTGGTGTGATCCACAGCGGGATTTACTACACCCCTGGCTCCCTGAAGGCCAAGCTCTGCGTGCAGGGGGCAGCCCTCTGCTACAAATACTGTGACCAGAAGGGAATTCCCTACAAACAGTGTGGGAAGGTACAGGAATCCCTGTGTTTCCCTGCTTTACCCTTGGATACTGGAGCTGTGTCATGATGCCTGGCCATGGATTTTCTCCACATTCTTCTAGTTGCACGTAATTTTATACATAAATGTGTATAATGTACATAATCCAAAATCATCCCTTCCAGTTGATGAGTCTCAGTATGAGAGGTTTTTCATGACCCTCCACGCTCTGAACCATTTTTAATTCAGTTTGTCTGTGGTGTAAGGTGAGAACCAGGACTGGGCAGAGCATTCCAGGTGTGGATTCCTCAGTGAAACAGAGTTCCCAGTTGTTCTAACACTCAGTTCAGGTTTTCCAGCTCTCACTGGGCATTGAGCTGCTGTTTCCACAGGGCTTTCTATCCTAACCCCAAGGTCTTGGCCCTGAAAGATAAATTTGAATTCCATGGTTCTTCTCAGAGCCGTGTCCGGTCCGTGCTCCCTCTGCTGCCACGCTGGGCACAGGGTGGCACTGTGGATCTGTGCAGCAGCACACCTGAGGGGACAGCCTGCTCCCTGCTCAAAGCTCCTGTCCTGAAGGGGTCAGCTGGAGCCTGGCTGACACTGAATTTGTATATTTTGTACCAACAACAGGGTGGCAGCAGGGGCAGGGTAGTGCCTGTCCCTTGTGCTGGCACTGCTGGGCCACCTCCAGTCCTGGGGACAACTCTGGGCTCCTCACAGTGAAGCCACCTGGAGGGGCTGGAGCATGTCCCCAGTAGGGAATGGAGCTGGGAAGGGGCTGGAGAATTGCTGAGGGAGCTGGGAAGGGGCTGGAGAATTGCTGAGGGAGCTGGGAAGGGGCTGGAGAATTGCTGAGGGAGCTGGGAAGGGGCTGATCCTGGAGCAAAGGAGGCTCAGGGGGCCCTTGTGGCTCTGCACAAGTCCCTGGCAGGAGGGGACAGCCGGGGGGGTCGGGCTCTGCTGCCAGGGAACAGGGACAGGAGGAGAGGGAATGGCCTCAGGCTGGGCCAGGGGAGGTTTAGATTGGATATTGGGGAAAATTCCTTCCTGAAAGGTTTGTCCAGCCCTGGCAGAGCTGCCCAGGACAGGGCTGGAGTCCCCATCCCTGGAGAGATCTAAAATCCCTGTGGATGGCAGTGCTGGGGACATGGGGTAGTTGTGACCTTGGCAGTGCTGAGAGATCAGTTGGACTCAGAGAGCTTTTCCAACCTCAGCAATTCCCTGATTCCATGACACTCCCCTGGCAGTGTTCATTCCAGGGAAGATAATGGTGAAACTTCACAAGTCTTCCCTAAAGCAGCCCCAGGCTTGGAGAGCTTCACACCTGTGAGGTGCCAGAGCTGATCATGGTCTGTGCAAACCTGGCACAGGTAATTGACAGCCTGAATTTATCTCCTGTGATAGCTGTGAACAGACTCCTTGATTAAATGAAGTGAAACTGGTACAATTCCACTCAGACCATGTCAGAACATGTCTTTACTCTCCTATCAAGGCTCTTTGAGATTTGTACATCTTGGGTTGAGTTCAGTTTTACTTTTGAAAGCATCCCAGTGCTTCTTTTAATTCATATTCTCTTTTTTCACATGCAGACTTGTAGTCTCAGGGTGCTTCTGGCAAATACTGTCAATTGATAGTAACTCAAGCTACAGTTTAGCATTTATTTTTTAATTCTCTATGATATTTTAGTCCTTCCTCAGCAACAGAATTTTGTGCAATTAATGGCACCAACCATTTTTCATCCCCTGGATTCATTGTTCACTACTGTTTGAGCATGTTGCCAGTCCTGCCCTGTCTCTGTTTTGCTCACTGATGTGATTTTTTTGCCTTTCCCGAAGCTGATTGTGGCCGTGGAACATGATGAAATTCCAAGGCTCAAAGCTCTGTATGAGAGGGGGCTGCAGAACAACGTCCCGGGGCTGAAACTCATTGGACCCAAGGAAATCCAGGAGAAGGAGCCCTTCTGCAGGGTAAGGGGTTGCCATACTTCTAATTTCACTTTTAAGAGCTGTTTCACAGGTGAAAACATCTTTCCATTTCACACAAATATTTTTCTGGCCTTGAGGTTCAAGTTTAGAGGAGCCTGAAAATTCCTTCCCATCCATAAAAGTGGATTTGGATCAAGCCAATTTTGATGCAGGTGGTGTGGCTGTCATGTAGCACTTCTCACCTGTTTATTTTCCCATCAGGAGGAATGTGAGGAGTTTATGGAACAGAGATTTGTTATTGATGAGTCTGTCTTTGTTTGAAAGCTGGATATGAATTCCCTGTGCTGTTTCACCTGGCAGCTTGCTCTGGTGTAGATGTGTGACTTAGGAGTGGTTGTAGGTACAGACAGAAATTTTCTGGAAAAGAATCTTTTTAATTTTTTTTTTTTTCCTGTAATAATTTTGGATCTGCTCCCTAAAACATCTTTTGCATGTTCCAGATTCAGCTGAGGACATGGGGAGACAGCAGCACTCCCTTCTGATGGCAGTGCAGATATTCCAGATGAAATATTCCAACTTTCACTCTTCCCCCTTGTCTTTAAAACCCTTCCAGGGACTGATGGCCCTTGATTCTCCCTACACTGGGATTGTGGATTACAAACAAGTGGCCCAGTCCTATGCCAGAGACTTCCAGGAAGCAGGTGGGACAATCTTGACTGATTTTGAAGTCACAAACATGGAGATGGCCAAAGAAAGTTCTCCAGAAAGTGAAGATGGTAAGACTGGATTTTTTTTTTTTCCCTCCATTTACTACAAAGATTTTGTTCAAAACATGATTGTTTTAACTGAAATGACATTTCTGAATTTTTCTGTCTCCTAGGGATGAGAAAAAAAGCAAAATTATCTTGGTGAGAGTATTCAGAAAACTCACTTAGGTTTTTTTTTGCAGGCAGATCACCCCTCAGCTGAAACATTTAAAACTGATGGGAAGAAAGTGAGAGTAAAATGGAGAAATAAAGTTGTTCTCTCCTCTTAAAATCAGATTTATCTGAATCTTGCATGTTTATTCTTGTGATAGTGATTTTCCTTATCCTGATGGCAGGTTGGATCTGTGCTGGCACACAGAGGGAAGAATAAAAATTAATGATTTCATTAATAAATACAGTCATGTCCAACAACATTAATTATGACAACTTCCATAGCTTGGAAGACATTCCTGAGGAAAATTCCTCCCTGGTGACAAGCTGCTTGTTCTGTCAGTTCTCTGTTACTTGTTCTAGTAATTCCTTCTCTTGTTTAATTCCATTTCAGGACTGAAATACCCAGTCATTGTTAGGAGCAAAAAGGTAAGGGTGAAAAAGAAGTTTTAATTCCTCCGAGGAAGCTGCTTCTCCTTTAATTAAGATTTTTTTTCCTGGTGGATTAATCATCTCCCAAAAAAGAAAAGGTTAAAAAGCTGCAGTTCAACAGCATGATCAGGTTGATAAAACAACTGCAGTCAGTTCTTAACAATGAGGATGTTCAAATTAATTATTCATTCAAATTAATAAATAATAATGATGATGTAAAATAATAAACTATAACTTTCTGCTGCCTAGTGTTTAATGTCCCTTATCTGCTTTATTTGCACAGTCTGATGCTTGTGTTTCCAAGAACTCCTTTATGGCTTGTTGATTTGGGGACAAACACCAATTTTCATGTTTACTTTTAGGCTGTGACATCCATAAAATGATAAGGAGGCTTTTAGCATTGTTTTATTATCATTTTATCATCAGAACTGCTTCAGTAAAACAGGTGCACAACAGCTGCTGTTCCTGCAAGTCAGGACCTGTGCTTGTAATCCCTTCAGGAGGGAATATCTGGAACAAAAACAACCTCACAACCCCTCTGGTAGTTTTTAAATTTAGTTTTGTTGCTTTTTTCTCCTATTTTTTGCTCTTTCATTAAAAAGTACCTTCCAAAATCTGGGTTTTTTCCACCAAATACTGGTATTTTTTCCATGCAAACATTTTTCAGTTGAAGAAAAAAAACCCCATAGTATTTAAAAACAGATACTGTGAGCTAAATAAATAGATAATAGCTTTTGATTTTTTAAAAATATATTTATTTAGATGGTAAGGTGTTGGATATTTAGGAGCTCTGCATAAGTTTGTGCTGTGAACTTGTGTAGCTGCTCCCACCCTGTGGGGTCAAATCAGTGAACAGCCTTATTGAACTTATTTAAAGTATATAACTTAATAACTTATAAACATAAAAATATAAATATAATAGCTTATAATAAATATTAAATAATTAATTACTACATATTATATTATTATATTTATATATATTATATATTATATTGTATAATATAATTAAATATTATATAATATAAACAATATGTAGATATTATATAAATAGAAACATATCTATAAATATATAAATAATAATATAAATATAAATGTAGTATAATTAACTTTTATTTATATTATTATATTATATAATATTATATTTATATATTTTATATAAATATATATATAAATATAAATGTAGTATAATTAACTTTTATTTATATTATTATATTATATTATATTTATATATTTTATATTATACACAATATATTATAATATAAATAATATATAAATACTATATTTATATTTATATATTTATAAATATAAATATATAAATAATAATATAATATAGATGTGGTATTATCAATAATATAATAAATAATTAACTTATATTTATATAATTATATAATATTATATTTATATATAATATATTATATTATAATATAAATAATATATAAATAATATATAAATATTTATATACAAATAATAATATAAATATAGATGTGATATTATCAATAATATAAATAATTAACTTATATTTGTATTATATTATATCATATTATTATATTAATATTTTATAATATGTATTATAATATAAAGAACATATTAATGTATACATTTTTATATATTTATAAATATATGAATAATAATATAAACATAAATGCAATATTATCAGTAATACTATAAATAATTAACTCACATTTACAAGTTAAATACCAGTAAGGCTGTGGGGTTTTTCTGGGTGTTTTTTTTTAGCAGCTACATTGAATTTTTATGGGTTTTTTTTTGTTTCCCACAGGGTGAGGAAATCTCCTGTGGGCACATTTTGACCTGTGCAGGGCTTCACTCCGACCGCCTGTCCGAAATCAGCGGCTGCAGCCCCGAGCCCCGGATTGTCCCGTTCCGGGGGGATTATTTGGTGCTAAAACCAGAAAAATCTTACTTGGTGAAAGGAAATATTTATCCAGTACGTCCCCCCTGGTTTGTCTGTCACAGTGTGCCCTAAGAGCAGCTAAAAATGCAGGAAAAATGCCTAAAATTTAATAATAAATTAAATAAATTTAATAATAAATTCTGTCAGATGGAGATTCAGTTGGGTTCTGACAGGACAGCTTGGATTTTGTTAATTTTTGAGGGAAACATGGAAGTACCACGTGGGAAATTATTGCCAGTTGTTTTATTTTGTTTATGGTTTTAGTTTTGGGGTTTGTTTTTTTTTCTTAATAGTGAAAAGATGGAATATCCCCTTGCCACATATCCAGAAAACTCTTAAATTATTTCTATATGTCCTAAAATAAATCTGTAGGCAGGATCCAGAAGTCAGGGAGAGATGACAGTAAATTATTATTTATTTTTTAAATAATAACAGTGCTGTTTAATCTCTTTATTGATAATCTGGACAAAGGGGTTGACTGTACCCTCAGGAAATTCCCTGATGACACTGGAGGTCTTCTCCAACCTCAGTGATCCTGTGATGAATTATTGATGAAGGGTTTAATCTTTTGTGCTAGCACCCAACACTCAGATTTAGGTATTTTCCTCTCAACCTTATTTTTGAATTTGCTGATTTTGTCATAAAAAATTGATGTGGGAGAAAAAAGGGAAAGCCTTTCTACCACCAAATAAAGACAAATAATGGGATGAAGAGGAGCAATCCCAGATAGAAAATGTAGTTATAGAGCAAGTTCAGAGAATTCCTAGGGTAGCATTTTAGCAAATTCTGTAGATTTAAATACTGATTTTCTGAATATGAGATTCACTTTGCCTGCTAAACACTGGACTTTTGGGAAAATTGGAATGCTGTTTGTCTGATCTCAGCTGGGAATGATTCAGGATCCTGTCTTGGGATGGAAGGGAGGAACAGGAACAAAAAAAGAATGAAAAAAGAACATGGAGTTATTTATTATTAGCATTAACCAGGCCTGCTAAGTTCAGGCTGTTTTGTACACACTGTAAGGGTTTCCCAATATTTTCTATTCTATTTTATTGCAGTGTAATTGCTGCTGGTGAATAACATCATTGGTTTTGTTCTGGGTTGATTTATATCCTGATTCGATTTCTCATGTGGACTTCTTTTGTTTTCCTGCTATTTGTTTTCCATTTCCCTAAAATTCAGCTTTACCAGGCCCTGCTCTGTTCTCCAGTGTTTTAATTAATGACATTAACTCCACAACTGCACAATTAACAAGCAGCAAAACCAGCTCAGAGCTGATTCCAAGGTTCTGTCACTCCGAGTTTTGTTGCTGAGGTTGGAAATAAAATGGCAATTTTGGTGTTTGTAACAGCTCTGATCACTCCTGTGTCCCATTTCAGGTTCCCAACCCTCGTTTCCCCTTCCTGGGATTCCATTTCACGCCCAGGATGGATGGCAGCATTTGGCTTGGCCCTAATGCAGTGCTGGCCTTTAAGAGAGAAGGCTATAAACTCTTGGACTTCAGCCCTGGGGACTTCTTAGATGCTGTGACCTACAGGTAATGCTTCATGTTTGTGTCTGCTCGTGCTCTCGTTGAAATGTGAGCCATGGAAACCAATTCCTGCCCAAAATCCTGCTTTTCCCACGTTTTTGGTGTGTTTCAAGACAGTTGTGCTGATAAGGGTGGACTTCCCCAAGACATTTGACTTTGTGTGGTCTCATATTTTAATTTTCCAGCAGGACATGTCTCAGCCAGTCTGGGAATGGGGCTGCTCAGTGGAAGGTGCTGGTGGAGCTGTTCCAGGGTTGGTTTTGTGATAACTTCATCAGCTGAGACAGCATCATTAAATACCTGCAGAGGGTGCTGGGAGGAGAGAACGGCTGGGAGAGCTGGGAATGTTCACCTGGAGAAGGGAATTCTCCAGGGAGAGCTCAGAGCCCCTTGCAGGGCCTGAAGGGGCTCCAGGAGAGCTGGAGAGGGACTGGGGACAAGGGATGGAGGGACAGGAGCCACGGAATGGCTCCCAGTGCCAGAGGGCAGGGATGGATGGGAGATTGAGAATTGCTGGCTGGGAGAATGGGGAGACTCTGGAATAGAATTCCCAGAGCAGCTGTGGCTGCCCCTGGATCCCTGGAAGTGCCCAAGGCCAGGCTGGACATTGGGGCTTGGAGCAAGCTGGGATAGGGGAAGGTGTCCCTGCCCAGGTAGCTCCAAGCCCCATCCAACATGGCCTGGAACACTTCCAGGACTGGAATTGAGAGTTAATTCAGTGCCACAGCTCTGTGAGAAAGGTTTGTTGAAGCAGAGAAGGAAACATGAATTTTTCAAATATAAAGCATTATGTCATTCCAGATTTTGGGAACGGGAACTTGTGCCCTGCAGTTGCATTTGCTGCCTTTTTCAGCAGCTGCAGCTGGTGCATTTTGAGGCAGATTTTCCCTCACTGCAGCTGTTTCTCCCCTTGCAGTGGGCTGTGGAAGCTGGTGCTGAGGAACGTGTCCTACGGCCTGGGGGAGCTGTACAGAGCCTTTTCCCTCAGTGCCCAGGTGAGGCAGCTGCAGAAGTTCATCCCTGAGGTCACCACCAATGATGTGCTCAGGTAAAAGAAACATCTCCTGTTTGGGAAATCTCATATTTGAACAGCAGAAAGTGTGTCAGGGCTTTAGTCCCTTCCTCCACCAACTTAAGACACCAAAGCATGGAGCTGCCTCCAGCTTGGAGGTCCCAGCACAGGAAGGACCCTGGAGTTCCTCAGTCCAGAGGAGGCACCAGGATGATCACAGGGATGGAGCAGCTCTGCTGGGAGGAAAGGCTGAGAATTTTGGGATTGTTCAGCCAGGAGAAGAGAAGTTTTGGGGTGACCTCATTATGGCCTTGCAGTACTTGAAGAGAGAGCCTGCAGAAAGATGGAGAGAGAGTTTTACAGAGCCTTGGAGAGGCAGGACAAGGGAGAATGGCCTCAAACTGCCAGAGGGCAGGTTTAGATGGGATATTGGGAAGGAATTCCTGGCTGGGAGGGTGGGCAGGCCCTGGCACAGGTGCCCAGAGCAGCTGTGGCTGCCCCTGGATCTCTGGAAGTGCCCAAGGCCAGGCTGGACAGGGTTTGGAGCAGCCTGGGACAGTGGGATGTGTCCCTGCCCATGGAGTGGGGTGGGCTGTAAGCTCAGAGGTTGGACTCAGTGGTCTGGCAGGTCTTTTCCAACCTCGATGTTTCCATGACTCTCAGATACCCCCACTCTGCCTCCTGAGTGTTAAACCTCCCCCAGAAGGCTTTGTCTGCACTCTGTGCCCTCCTCACTGTCTCCCTGGACACCTCCTCACAGAAATCGATTTTCCTGACTCAGAACAACATTTTCCTTCTGCTGGTGAGCTCCTCCTTGCTTTTGCAGGGGTCCCTCTGGCGTGAGAGCCCAGGCTCTGGACAGCCAGGGGAATTTGGTGGATGACTTTGTGTTCGATGGAGGCACGGGGGACGTGGGGAGCAGGATCCTGCACGTCAGGAACGCTCCTTCTCCCGCCGCCACCTCCTCCCTCGCCATCGCCGCCGCCATCGCCGCCGAGGCCGAGCGGCGCTTCCAGCTCTGAATCCCGGCGGGAACGGGCAGGTTCTGCCCCTCTGGAATGTGGGACTCCTCCTGAAGGACACGGAGCCACCAGGCAGCAGGGCTGGGAAGCGCCCAGGCAGCCTCGGGAATGTTCGCTGCCACAGCTCCTCAAGCGTCGCATCCCAGGTTTGGCCACCTGGGCAGGAGCAGCCACGGGAGGGTCTCCAGCCACAGGCAGAGCAGGGAGAGCCCCTGTGGTGGGATTATCCACATGGATTTCCCATGCCTGTGCTCACCTCCTCAGAGGGGTCTGCAGAGCCACAGGCATGGGGTGGCTCTCTGTGTGCTCTGATTCCATTTAAATGGAGTCTGCAGTCCTCTAGATTACATGGAATAATGGAATAGAAGGATAAACCTGCTTAAGGGCCCTGCTGATATGGAATTAAAGGCTTTATCAGAGATTGAGAACAATATTCAGAGCCTTCGACGTGAATGTAGAGTATTTCACAGAAAAATAAGCTTCAAGAGGATTACCAGACCCAAGGCAATTTAGATCTGCAATTCAGATACTCTGTCTGATCACTGTCTCTGTTTTTTATAGAGAAGAAATGAAAATATGGATATAAATAATCACTTTTCACTTAATTTACAGCTGGGAAATCAGTGCTGATCAGAAACTTCATCAGGGGGTTTGGGGTTCCTCCTGCCCCTGAATGCTGCTAATGCAAAAGGAGCTGATCTTTGTCCAGCCAGTTGGGCAATCCAGGGAAAATGGTCTTTGGAACAGGGAATGTGAAGGGAAGGAAGCTCCAGAAACCTGCCTTGGGTCATGTTTGATATTGCTTCCCTTGGAGCCTGAGCAGGGGTGAGTCAGGAAGGTTTCCCATTTTCCCTGAGCACGAGGGGAGCTCAGGCAGTGCTGGTGACTCCTCTGAGCTCTGCTGACACCCAGTTTTTATCAGAGATACCCCTGGAGCAGTCTGTGTGGAGAGGGATGTGAAGCAAGCTCACATCACATCACAGTGCCAGGCTGAGGATCTGGGAGTGTCGTGCATTTGCTGTAAAGCAGAATTTTGTGGCCTCAGGGACAAAGTATTGAGGATTTTATAGCAGATGCTCACAGGATGTTGGGTAACACAGATAATTGTGGGGAGTTTGTACCAGAAAATTGGACATTCAGTTTTCCTTAAAAAGTTCTTTTCTGAGCTCCTCTGGTGGGAGTGGGTTAGCACAGGAGGGCAGCTGTGAGGCTAATTTTACTGTACAGATTGGAGACACTTTTTTGAGGGGAAAAAAGGGCTTAATCTGCCTTTTTAAATTTTTTATTTTTTTCTCCTGGTAAAATCTACTTTATCAGCAAATTGACAGCTGGAAATCAAATTAAAAACCTTTTCAGAGCAAAGCTTTGGTCACTTTAGGCAGAGATTCAGCTGTTCCAAGTCTTCCAGTGCCACAGGGCTGTGTAAAACTTCCCAGAGTGGAACAATCCTATCTTCCCTCCCTGCCAGAAGTGTTGCCTATCAACAGTAAATCCTACAAAAGGATTGCAAAAGCCACTTCCTCCCACACGGGGTGTGGCCCTGACATGTATTAACAAAATAAAGAACATTAAAATGCAAAGCAGACAGAGACCTGGGGGAGTCCTAAGTCAGCATTTCCCTGTGCTGCCTGCAGAGCTTTTTCCTCTCAGGTGATGATTGTTTGGAGGTAAAGTTTATTTGAAACTTAATTTATGAACCTTGATGTAGCATCCTGTGAAACAGAAATCTTTTCAGAGATAAAGTTTTACACTTCTGTTATAAAAATAAATTCAGAGATTATGATATCAGGGTTTCGGGCATCAATCTCGTTGCTCACAAAGTGTGAAAATGTATTAATTTATTTTCCAAATGAGCCTCACTTTGATGATTTCATAAATCTGCCTTTTATGATTAAAATAGTCTGGTGGGGTTTTTTAAAATGCTGTCAAGTCTGTGTATTTCTCCTGACTCAGTGACAAGTTTCACTGGAATTTGCTAATTCTCAGCTGAATTAGGGAGGATATCACTCTGTATAACAGGAATTTCTTCAGGAGGGGGACACATGTCCAAACTTGTCTTCCTAAATTATCTCATCTGTGCTTCTCACACCTCACAGCTCGACAGGACTGCTCTCAAGGCTGATCTGGGCCTGTTGGGACAGGTGGGATGAGAATTCCTGAAACTCTGAATAAATGTTTGGACAAACACGATTTGTTCCCCAAAAGTGGAATCATAGAATCATACAGAATCATAGAACCCCAGACTGGTTTGGGTTGGAAAGAACCTTAAATCCCATCCCATTCCACCTTCCACAATCCCAGGCTGCTCCAAGCTCTGTCCATCCTGGCCCTGGACACTTCCAGGGGAGAATTCCTTCCCAATATCCCACCTAAACCAGTGCCCAGCAAGGTCAGTCCTAAACTCTGCAAGGAGTAGGAGCTGTGGATTGTGCCACCATTATCCCATTATTATTTTATCCCATTTATTATTCTTGCTCACAGTTTGGGTTTGAGGAACAAGTGTCTTCCCACAGAAATAAATATTTTGTTGGGAACCTCCCAGGCTGCTCTGGTGTGTCAGGAAGGTCAAGCCACGGAGCACAAGGAGCAGGTTCTGCCTCTGGAATCATCAGGCTCCTCCAAGAAATCTGTTACAAAGAAGTAAAAAATCACAATTTTACTGTCAGGAAGGCACAGTTTTTTCCTCTTTGCTTTAATTTATCCATTCCCTCTGTGGACAAGTCTTAAAATGGGAGTAGAGGGAATAGAAGGTGTGAGATTTGAATGTTACACTGTCAGGAGGGAAATGAGGGAAAATTTGGCTGGATTTGGGAGAAAAGGAATGGTGGCTGGAGTAGGGAGGGAAACTGCCTCCAGAAAAGGAGGAATGCTGCTTCCAGCTAGGGAGAGAAACTGCTGGCAGGGAGGAAAACATCCTCCAAAGAGGGAGGAAAACTGCCTCCAGGCTCTGAGGAAAATTGCTTCGAGGCAGGGAGAACAGTCTACAGATAGAAAATCTTCCAAGTAGGGAGAGAAACCCCTTCCAGGTAAGAGAACAGTCTCTAAATAGGGAAGAAAATGCCTTTTATCCTTCAAATAAGGATGGGAATAGCCTCCAGGTAGGAAGATCTCGAGGAGGCCTCCAGGTAAGGAGAGTCACATCCTCCAGGTGGGGAGGAAAACTGCCTCCAGGTAGGAAGAGGAACATCGTGGAGGCAGAGTCTCCAAGCAGGGTAAAACACAGCCTAGGGGTGGGGAAATAGCAGCCGGGTTGGGAGAATAAGAGCCTCCAGGGAGGGAGAGGAACATCCTCCTAGGAAGGGAGAGGCACAGCCCCTAGGCAGGGAGGGAAGCTGCCTGGAGGAAGGGAGGGAAAGAGCCTTCAAAAAAAGTGCTTCCAGGCAGGGAAATATCATCGGAGCAGGGAAATACCCTCCCAGGTAGGGAAATACCTTCTGGGCAGGGAAATACCCTCTGGGAAGGGAAATACCTTCCAGGTAGGGCAGTCTCCTCTGGGCAGGGAAATATCCCCTGGGCAGGGAAATCTCTGAATAAGATAGCATCCTCCGGGCGGGGAAATCTCCCCCGGCTAAGGAAACATCCCCCGGGCAGGGAAATCTCCCCCGGGTAAGGAAACATCCCCCGGGCAGGGAGGTCTCCGCGCCCGGGGCTCGGTGCCCGCTCGGTGCCCGCAGTTGCGGGCGCTGCCCGCAGGGGGCG